TTCACCTCTTTATGCAGCTCATCGCAGGCCTGTAGTGTGTCCTGAATGGGGTTCTGGTGGTCCGGAGCGTGCAGGTAAAACAGGTCCACACATTGTGTGCGCAGCCTCTTCAGGGACGTTTCCAGCTGATCCCGCACACTCTCTGGGTTGAGTGTTTTCCCCTCCCAGGGGTTTGCTTTAGTCGCAATTCGAACTGACAAAGACAAATGAAATGAAAGCACATAACATGATTAAAAATATACTGCCCTTTTAGACTCCCCTTTAGATTTAGTGTTATTTTAGTATCATCGAGATGCTATTACAATTTTGTATTAATATTTTGATTTTATATTTTATAGTGTTAAGTTTTATTATTTGTATTGATATTTTTAATGTCTAAAGTGTTTTATTCATTTTAATTTCAGTTTGAGTTATTTTAGTATTTCAAGTTTAGTGAAAATGAAATTTTAAGTTATTTTATTTACATTTAGATGTATTCATTCATTTAGCAGACACTTTTTTTTATTCAGTTAATTTTTTTTTCTTTTTCAGTTAACGAAATCGCTTTTTATGGCTTTAGTTTTAATGATAATAACCCTGATGTGATTACGCAAGAAACATGTAACGATCACAGGCATGAGTAAAAATATAATTTCATTTATTATTATTATTATTATGTACCTCATTTTGTATTGTTGTTTCTTGGTATTTTTAATTCCTTCCAGCATGTTTCTTCTTATTTGTCACTGCCAGACATGCTATCTAATATGATTTGTCTCTGAATTAAACTAATAATTCATTAAAAATAAAATAGTATAACTATAATAAATTTAAATAATAAACAATTTTAAATAAATAACGATTACATAATTAAAATACTATTTATAAATAATAAAATAAAATTCTAAACAATAATAAATTATATTTAATTAATAATTACAATTTTAAATAATAAGAAATACCTTTTTAAAAAAGCAACTGGTCATCCAAGTACATGATCCATAAATGTACATTTTATGCACAGGCCTACTACTAAAAGTACGACCAGTATGGAAGTATGCTAATGTATACACACACGGCATATTCTTTGAACTTACAAATAAACATGTCACGTGCAATGCCACGTGATCTACCCACTCATTCCTGTGGTGATCAGAGTCACTAGTAACAGTTTAGGAAGAGTTCTACCTGTTTTCGGAAGCTGCATGTTCCCTATGATGGTCTCCGCCTGTCCATCATTGTACATCAACGCGGTGTCCAGCTCATTGTGTCCGCGCTCTAAGAACACCTGCACCAGCCGCGAGCTCAGGTGTGCGTCCGCGCGGCCCCCAAACGCCATGGACCCCAGCAGAGTGACGGGGAGTTTGGACTGAGACATGCTGCGGAGTTGAATGAAGCGTGATGTTCTGAGTCTGGGGAGAAATGCGCGGTGAGCTGCACTCAGGCCTGCTCTGACAGCGCACTGCATAGTAAAGTTCCTGTAAAGCAGAGAGAAGGGCTGAGGGGCCGTCGCGAAAGTGTCGGAATTGTGCGTAAACGTAGAGGTCCGCGCCGAGGAGTGCCATTGGTCAGCAAAAGGAGGTGGACATTTGAAAGTTCATGGTTCATCATTCGCCCTATCACAATAGCGATGCGGGTTTTCCAAATATCACTTACCATGCTTTTAAGCGCATGCGATTCCCTTTGTAACCTGAAGATGTCAGCAAATAACCCATAAATCTGTAGGGGACCAAAAACGCGATTTTCTGATCAGAATCCAAAATTTGTCTAAACTTTATGCGAATGTATTAGGAAAACTGTATATTTTCATTAGTTTTTCACTGCTTGTAATCAGCTTTTGGCCTTTATTAGTTTATTTTAATGGTGTAGTGCAGTGATTCTTAAACAGGGGGCCTCAGCAAACTTCCAGACAGGGCCAAATAAGTCTTACAATATTTCCATTTGTTTTTATCTACATAATTTGAATTAAAATTCTATAAAACACAAAAAAATAAACGTGTACAACATTACAATGACATCATATATATATATATATATATATATATAAATTTTTTATTTTATTATTTTTATTCTAACATGAGGGAGCCTTCGAATATTGTTTTGGACATGGGGACAAAAAAGTAAAAAAGGTTGAGGATCACTGCTGTAGTGTGGAAACTACATTTTTAAAAGCGAAAAATATCAAATGCATTCTCTCAATATGAGATCATATTGTCAAACTGATACGTAAGGTACTCAAATACAGAGATTTCAAATTGCTTCATTACATCATTGCAAGCAATTATCATAAGCCAATAATTATGATTTAGGATTCCAGGTGATATTAAATCTAGCATTTAATTTATTCAGAACGCTCCATCTCATAAGAGTTATGCACTTTTCAATAAAATGTCAATTGATGTTTCATTTTTACTGGTTCTGTAACGTTGCTACATTCATGACCTTTGAAGTCTTACATGACAAATGTTATGGAAAAACTCACTAATAGATTTATTCTAGCAATTTAAGACTACTGTATTGGTATACATGATACAAAACTGCTCTGTCTTCCTTAGGAAAGGCATTACAAATGATCTGCGAAGACCAAAGAATGTTAATGCTTCATTGCACAATGTATTTCTCCTAATTCTTTTAAACATTATTATACAATATTCCTGGAGTGACACGTCCACATGTGCTCAAAATACCAGCCGATGTTTTTATAGCTGTGTTTTAGTGTGGAATCACATTGTGATCATGGCAGAAGTGTTGAACCCTGGTTGGCACTGACCTCTAGAGTCGAATCAGTGCTGTTAGGGAATGTTTTCCAGGTTTTGTTGCCCCAGAATCTCTGATCCCAGCGCTGACCTCTGGATCCTTCCCCCATGCATACGACCCATCATGCTCTGCTTCGGCTGTGGCTCAGAGACCCCTCGACAGGCCCGTTCTGTAAGAGAATGTCACATGGTGAAGGTGTTGGAATATGGGTAACGCAGTGATGATTTGCTGTTATTTCAAGTGGACACCAGTGAAAATGAGATTTAGATTTTTTTCTAATTTAATAATATTTGTTTTATTAAAAATGAGTTCTGATGATAATATTGCTAAATATTATAAGCAGAACAATTGTCAAAAGTTGAAGTGAAAAATTAATATTATACTGTTTACTATTTTATATTATTACATTGCTATTTTAGAACAGCTTTTTGAATTTTAGTTGGATGTATATCATCAAATATTATCAGCAGAACAATCTGAGTAAAAGTTGAAGTAAAAATTGTATCATTACATTACTATTTTAGAATCGCTCAGTACAGTGTAAATATTAAAGGGGTCATATGATGTTGCTAAAAATAACATTATTTGGTGTAATGAAATATGGTAATGTGGTTTAAGGTTCAAAAAACACATTATTTTCCACATACTGTACATTATTGTTTCTCCTCTATGCCCCACCTTTCTGAAACGCGTCGATTTTTACAAAGCTCATCGTTCTGAAAAGCGAGGTGTGCTTTGATTGGCCAGCTATCCAGTGCGTTGTGATTGGCTGAATACTTCAAGCGTGTGACGGAAATGTTACACCCATACGCATACTGTGATGCCCTGTCCGGTCGGAGCGACGAGACAAAAACATTAAAACCCATTATAAACGAGGCATTTGTTGCACCCAGTGGGGACATAATTACGGATTATAATGATTTATACTGTCTTTTTATGCGTTGTGTTGCATCGCGCCGCATCGCGCCACGTAAACAAAACCATGTCTGCATTTGTGATTGGAGAAATTACAAACAACAAGCACTACTCTACACTGCTCAAAACTCGTGTTTGAATCATCAGTGACAAATTCTTTAAATGAAAACGTACTTACAGTCTGTGAGTCAGAACAGCCGGCATTGTAGTCTACTCTTCCAAAAATGTGCTGCATACATCTGAATATTTGGGTTGAAGTGTTGTAAATACAACTTAACTACTGATTTCTAGTCGTATCCTCTTTTGGAAGACCAAACAAAGTAGTTTCACACGGCGGGCTACACTCTTAAAAATAAAGGTGCTTCAAAAGGTTCTTCAAGCGATGCCATAGAAGAACCATTTTTGGTTCCACAAAGAACCATTCAGTCAAAGGTTCTTTAAAGAACCATCTCTTTCTTACCTTTTTATAATCTGAAGAACCTTCTTTCGCCACAAAGAACCTTTTGTGAAACAGAAAGGTTCTTCAGATGTTAAAGGTTCTTTATGGAACCATTTAGACAAAAAGGTTCTTCTATGGCATCGTGAAGCACCTTTATTTTTAAGAGTGTAGAGTGAGCGGTGGCGAACGGGCTTGAGAACGGCGTGGCCAGTGGATTTGACGAAGGAG